CGGATACCTGAGTGTGAAATCAGTCGACAACCTGGTCTGCCAGTTGTATATTAGTGCACAAACAAATTTCTGACAGTGTTCCAGGACGTGGTGGGTTTTCGCCTGGCAAGCGTTCTCCCTAAAAAAAGCCACAAATGTCCGTGTAACAACACTGTGACGTGGCGGATGTGACTCGCCACCGAATAAAGTCACCGCCCAGCACTGCCTAGTGGCAAGTCGACCAGAATCATTATTCAATATTGCCCTGACACTTTCAATAATAAGTTACACTGTGCCTATATGTATCGTTTTCATTACACATGTAGTGCTCTGACTGTTTACGCAACGCACGCTAGAATTCAACGTTTCGTCATTCAGTGTAGACTCTATCCCTCATGACTACTTACACAATTTCGGCAACCTGTACAACCTTCGGCTTACTGCCGACTACACTCATGGCAACGTGTTTGTTGCGAAGCAATATTGCATGCAAATATTGATCATGCCTTGCTTGGTGTTTCTCGACAAATTCGAGAATAAACTATTTATTTATTTATTTATTTAAGCCGTTAACGTATGTACTACGTTCTGCTTCTGACCGTCTTTCCCCACGAGAAACTAGACAATTAGATCACAGTTCCCCATTTACCTCTGACCTACGGCATTCGTCCCTCGCGAATAACGCCGTAGCAGATGCCTTTCCAAGAGCGGAACTCAACGCTCTATTCGAACATTCCCGCATTGACTTCCAAGAACAAGCCACAGCGCAGCATCAGGATAAGCAGTTTCTTCAACAGCTGCAACAAACCAATCTTCAAGTGAAAGTCATTCCGCTGCCTGGTAGTTCGGCATTTTCCGACACTACCCGTTAGACAGAAACCTTACCGCTGGTTTTATTAGGTCTTCGAAAAACACCTAAAGCTGATCTCGTTTGTGCCACCGCGGAGCTGGTATATGGTACCAAGTTAAAGCTGCCGGCTGATCTCGTTCAACCGACCGACATCGACGCTATAGACCCCTCAAACATTGTCCATCGGCTACGTTCACCTATGCGTGAACTGCACTTTATTCCCACAGGCGCATACACCAACAAGTGTTACATACCGAAGGATCTCGAAACTTGTTCACGCTTGTGGGTACCAAATGCTGCAGTCCGCAAGCCATTACAACCACCCTACGAAGGACCATTCGAAGTGCTCGCTAGGACCGAAAAGCATCATATGGTCAACAAGAATGGTAACGTCGATGCGGTTTCCGTGGCTCGTGTTAAACCAGCGTACCTTGAAAAACCATGTAAACAACAATCTACTGATTTTCACAAGACACCTTGTACGCAGCGGACACCACAGCTCGTTCAAGATGATCCGCCTCTTGCAACAACTACAGCTAAACCACAAGGAGAACTTAATACGCGGCAGACACGGTCCGGAAGGCTAGCCCATATTCCAGACCGCGTACTGTATTACACATCGTGAAAATACCATCTTGTTCTGCTGAAGACATGCTAGTACCGCTTGCTGCCAGTCTCCTCCTGTTGGTTGATCTCCAGATTCCGCCAGGATGCAACTGAACATCTCGCACAAAGAAGAAGCGGATCATCCAGTCTAGACAAATCAAACCACCGTGCATTTACCATCCTGCACTGCGTCCAAAATCATGCAATGTAACGTACACACAGCATGTTAGCCTGCATGCCTCCCATACCTCAGCCTCGGGTATTTCATGCGACACTGTACCAGGTAAAGCGCCGTTTTACCGGATATTACCACCGGATATTTTACTCCTGCTCACTTGAACATCGTGCGACTAGCGCTCTGATGGGGAGGTACGTAGTGTACCTTTTACATTTTACTACACAACATTCCGGTCAGCTGATAACATCATTAGCTGTATCGACTATTCTTTCCAACACCTACACTTCATGCTCGACCAACTGCCCTTTTTTGAATCGCCGACTGACTCTAGACCGCCTAGTGTACAACATCTGGGCGCCTCAATAACAAAATCAGAAAATACACGTTTTAAATCGCTTTTTACAGCCAAGCATGGCGGGTTTTTAGTCCAGGAACTCCGCAAACTTAAAAGTGTTACCACGATACGTGTTAATCAAAATAATATAAGTGGAGACTCTAAGGGGATGGGATAATCTCATATTTTCCAAGGGAACCGAAACTACGACTTGATGCCTTCCGCGAGTAAGTATAACGTACTCTGTGGAAGAGTTGGATGACGTCAATAACGTAAGTAAAAAGACCATAGGGCCCGGGACGCCTCTTTGATAGACTCCACTGGAGACCGGTTTTATGTATGCCGCCAAGGCACATAGATTATGTTCGATTTGATAAGTAGGATTTACACCACGAGAGCAGCCTCCCGGCAATGTTAAAAGAAACGAGTTTGGTCAGTGGTTAGAGGTGTGGAACGCGATCGAATGCTTTCTTCAAGTCGATGAAGATGGCGACCAATTTATGCTCTAACTTCATTGCGTCTGTGACCTTGTTTAAAAACTCAAACATACATGTCTGGTATGGTTTCTAGGGAAGGAACCCGTGTTGAGACATATTAATGTGATTTCGAGACAACAAAATGTTGAGCATTGCTGCTTTTACCAGTCGCTGCATTACTCCTGACGCGATGAATGTGGGGCTGAGAGGACGACGCTTGTCTAGAGCGAGACGGGATCCTCTTTTATTTTGTGGTAGAACTACAGCATGCTTCCACGCAGTGGGGTAGGTATTTGTTGTCATGGCGAGTGTAAATAGGTTAAGGAGGAGAACATGTATGTCTGGACCTCCTAGAATCAGCTCGACGGAAGGAATGCCATCGAGACCGGGGTATGGTGACACTTTGAGTGTACGGAGGCTGCGCACGATTGCGCGTAGTTTGAATTCGATGCTGTTTAGCCTATCGTCGGTGAGCAGAGGGTTTTGGTTGGGGTCGCCGATTTGGTGACCTAAAAAGAGGCGCCGAAATGTTTGTTGATATAATCACAAAGTCGGACGGGTCAGTAATGAGATTGCCATTAGAAAGCGATAGGGAGGCAATTGTTGGCACCCTGCTGTTTGTTCTGCGTTTCACCATTTGGGTGAGTGCTTTAACTTTGTTGTTAATGCTGGGTGCAGCGTGCTCCGCAGATGTGGCAGAAGCGGCTTGGTTTCTGCACGTTGTTAGCGTGTCGTTCGTGCGCATTAGTATGTGGAAAGCCTTTGTCTTGTTGTGACTGGAGCGCAATTTTCTCAGTTTGTTTAGGACACTATGTGTATCTGCTACTCACCTCGGTTTCGCTGGTTTCCTCATGTTCCGCTTGGGAGCGAACACATCATGACAGAACAAAAGGTTCTTATATAGCTCCTGGTCTTCATATCGTTTTCTGCTGGCAGAAAGAAGACGTCCCATTTAAAAGCACGTAAAAGAGTGGTGAATCTTTGCCAATCAACGTTTTGAAGAGGACGGAAGAAGCCACTGGGGGAGAGGTCGTAATGTTTAGTAGTGGGCCGTCTGCCTATCAGCTGCACTGCCTTATGATCACTAACAAGAAGGTTGTCAAGCACACAGAATTGTGCGTGGTTGATGCCTTTCGTGGATACTAAGTCAAGGACGTTAAATTTCCTGGTAGATGCGTTAACCGGTTGAGTCCATTCGCGTGCCAAGGTAAGGTCGACAACCGCTCTATATTTGTGAGGTAAAGACTGAGTAGACCAAGATATGTGGGCATATTAAAGTCCCCGCCGATTATCTTTAGACGTGCAGGTAACAGCGAAACATCGGTGAAGGGCTCAACCAATTTGTTTCTTTCAGCCGTTGAGATATTTGGTCGCACGTAGACGCAGCCAATGAGGAAGTCAAGGTGTTCGCCATCAGCTTGAATCCATATAGAGCCTGCGGGTTACCCAAGGCCATGACTTGGAAGGCGGATGCATGAAAGGCTTCGCTGACGTCATTGAGGCATCCCCCGCCCCATCGCTTATCCCGTCCACTGCAGAATGAAGAGTAGCTTGGTATTTGGATGAGTGAGTCAGACGAACTGGCAGTGTCAAGTTTCTGTGCTTAGGACCTGCTGTGCTTGGGACATAGTAACAAGCGGACCCAGGAGGTGATTCATTTGAGTAATATACCTGGGGTTGATCAGAAGCCTATTATGGATCCCCATCTTACTAAAAGCGTCGGAGTGGGATGAAGTAGGGAGTGTTGGGCACCTCTTGGTGGATAGCTATTGGTTGGATTATTGAAATTATGTGAACCGTCCGGCAGCAGCACGCGATCCAGCATTTGGTAATAAAATAATGAAACTTTTCCTTTAGTCTAAATGCCAGAATGTAATTTTGGGCAGTGAATTTACTCAGTGGCGAATCTCCTCCGCCACGACGCAGTGTTGATAAACGCACCTCTGTGGCTTTTTATAGGGAGGACGCTTACCAGGCGAAAACCCACTACGTCTTGGAACAATGCTGTTGATTGATTTGAACGATGTACATCTGGCGAAGCCTCTTATCAACCATTTGTTCACAGTTATGCGCAGTCGAATGATCCCTTTGTTAGCTTATCAGAGGGCTAAGTCAATGCGTTTCTTGGCCAGAGTCGGCTGCAGTCGTCCAGCTGTCCCTGGCAAGTAGCAGGTTACTCAGGCAAGACCGTTGACGCCGGAAACCGTGCTGGCAATCAGAGAGCAGTTTCTGGGTCTCCATGTGATCCGTTAAAGTCAATGTCATCTGGCCGAGCTACACCGCGATATTCCCTAATTTAACTACATTCTACTGGACGGAATTTCTTTCTTTTTTCTCTTCCACCTTCTTTTCCAAAGCCGTTTCGGAGGGCGTGGTGGGATGTTTCGCTTTGAGCCTGCGTGCATTCTGTTTAAATGCCACATAAGCCCGATGAAGATACGGCTAACACGCGAGTCCAACCCGCTATAAGGTTGCTTGGCCTTTCATTAAACCCGACCCGTACTCTTTTTACCCTATGGGTCATGTAAAGCTCCAGCTTTTATTCCCATTAAATACAATGTTCAATGCCCCCCGTAGAGATTGACGCCAACCGAGCAGGATGAATAATTGTGCAGGTATGCTACATTTTCGGTATCTGGGGTCTCACTTTGCTTTTGTATACTTGCTGGCGTGTGAGGAATCCGTGTCCATCTATCCTCACTGGACATCAGTCGCGTTAGGTGCAGTTGGTTGGTTTTGGTATAAGGTCATGGTCCAGATGAGTCCATGTGGGTTATTTCTTCCCATCTCAGACGAAGGCAGTTCCTCAGTCCAATCCCTGATCTTTATAAAGTACCCGACAGCAGCGAAATAAGAGAGTAACAGGTTGACAGAAGACCGAAAAGATCAGTCATGATCATGACTGCTTGGTTTCGAAACCAAGCAGTGTGAAAACCCTACCTTAAGACATTTAGACTTGAGACAGTATGATGTACAGAGTGCAAAAGATATTACACTGAAAACGCTTCTTGATCGCTGTCATCAAGACCTGAAGTGGAGTGGAATCCGCTGTGAGTCCGTTCCGGGTTTTTTTTCTCTGTTTCCATCCGTACCTGCTGTTCTGATTGTATTAGGTCATTATCGCTTGCCGTTTTGCTTGTACATAACCGTTTATAGTACCTCGTGTGTAATTTTTCTTGAATCCCCTAAGTCGTTTTCCCATCTTGTCATCTACATTGTTTACTGTATTCACTCTAATCACCATCAGATCAACGTTCCGATGCCAACAGTTGCACGTAACAGTACATGCTACGTTTGTCACTCCGAGTCGCTACCACATGTTCGCTGTCTTTGTTGCAAGCGACAGTACCATGGGCGCTGTGCTAAACTCACACAGCCGGAGGTGGACTTCTACACTTCACATACCAAAG